AGGGTAGACTGAGGGGGGATATGATTGCTATCTTTAAATATATCAGAGGGATAAATACAAGGGAGGGAGAGGAACTATTCCAGCTCAGTACTAATGTGGACACGAGAACGAATGGATATAAACTGGCCGTGGGGAAGTTCAGGCTTGAAATTAGACGAAGGTTTCTGACCGTCAGAGGGGTGAAATATTGGAACGGCCTTCCGAGGGAAACGGTGGGGGCGACGGACCTGTCTGGTTTTAAGATTAAGTTAGATAAGTTTATGGAGGGAATGGTTTAATGGTAAAACATAGTAGCCAAGGAAAACCAAGCAATGGTACGTAAATAGTATAATGGCCAACAGGGGTCAGACTAGAGACTCTTGCCTACATGCTTTGGGTCTTACTGATCGCCATATTTGGGGTCGGGAAGGAATTTTCCTCCAGGGTAAATTGGCTGAGCCTCTGGAGGTTTTTCGCCTTCCTCCGCAGCATGGGGCAGGGATCACTAGCAGGAGGGTCTCTGCCGACTGAAGTCACTAAAACACAGGATTGGGGACTTCAATGGCAGAGTCCAGGGAAGGGTTTTGTGGCCTGCAGCATGCAGGGGGTCAGACCAGATGATCATAATGGTCCCTTCTGACCTTAAAGTCTATGAGTCTATGAGGATGGCTACTAATAGTTTCTCTTGTTTCATTTTGTTTAGGAACTTGAGCAGTACAGGCTTTGGGGAACAAGTGTATGGCAGGATGTGAGGTTAAGTAATAACTAAGATATCTCCCATTGAGTTGTGGCTGTGCCCTCCCCTCAAGCAGAATTGTCTGCACTTCATGTTGAATGGTGTCGAGAGAAACAAGCCAATCTCCCAGTTCCAAAGAGGGCACTATCATTGCTAGGGTCACTACTCTGAACCACTGGAAGCAGACAAAGGTATTTAAAGTGCTGAGGTCGAAAATTGGTCTCCACCTCCCACCCAGCCCTGTTTTTCTTTGGGACAAGGAAGTACCAAGAATAGAATCCTCTTTCAATGAAGTCCGGTGGAACAGTTTTGATAGCTCCCAGAGCTAGGATGGATTATACCTTTGGCCTTAAGTGGTCTTTGTGAGAGAGGTCCCTGAAGAGGGATAGGGAAGGAAGTGTAAGGAGCTGTAGAAATCACTTCTAGGATCTGAAGTGATGAGCTCCCAGGAAGGAAGGAAATGGAAGAGATGATCCCCATATGGATAAGGGGGGGGACAGGTGCAGTGTATGATCTGGGATAGATAGTTTGTGACTCTCAACCAATGGGTCAAAACAGGCATTTTGAGGATGTCACAGACTGAGAGGTTGCTAAGAAGAGGGCGAAAATCTGGGATTTTGGCTTGGGCAGTGGGGAGGGGTTCAGCTGGTCTGATAGTGGATTGGGCAAGACTGTTGAGACGTCTGCGATTTGATATCTTTTCTTTTTGTTGCAGCTGTACAGATGTCCAAAGACTGAAGTGTTACCCGGGAGTCTGTAAGAGAATGAAGGGACCCATTCATGGAATCACTAAACAACTTAGGTCCCTCAAAGGGATCCTTGACAGTTTTTTGTGCTTCCAGGAAAAGCCAGGAAGCTCGATGCATGAATACTGTCATAGCCATGGAATGTGAAGCTTGTCAGTGGCATCAAGTGAGGCCTGGAGAGACCCCTTGGCAACTGTCTGGCCTTCTGTAATGAGGGCCTGAAATTGTTCTCTCTGCTCCTGAGGCAGATGTTCAATAAAAGATGAGAGTTCTCAATAGACTCTGAAGTCATATTTTGCTACCAGGGCTTGATAATTAGCTACTCTGAACTGCAAGGAAGCTGAGGAGTAGCTCTTGTGGTCCAGAAGGTCCAACTGCTTTAGCTCCTTATCAGATGGTATTGAACAGGATCAGAGTTACCTTTTCCATTTGTTAACAACTACAACAACCAGAGAGAGGAGAGGAGAGGAGAGGAGAGGAGAGTGGAAGGAAAAATATATTCCGAGCCTCTTGATGGGATGGGATGCAGTACCTTTTGTCAGCTCGTTTACACGTGGATGGGACAGTAGCTGGGGTTTGTTATATCGTGCATGCTAGGTTATGCAGAGCATCGTTGATAGGAAAGGTCTGCTACCCTTTTTATAATGTCTTGGAAAGCCTTAAAAGTCATCAGTATAAGAAAATTGGAGAGTCCTGGCAGCCTCATATGGTAAGGACGAGGACTTGTAACAAGGTGGAGTTTCTTACTCTTCTGTTGGTTCCTCCTCTGAGAGATGTATCTGTGGGGCAGGGCCTTAGGGAATCAGTTAATGCTCCTGACAAGTCCTCTTTTGAGAGGGTAACCTGTAAAAACGGTTGCCATAAAGAGCCCTCTAAGCCCACTGATGTGCAGCATAAGGGAAAGAGGCAGGACTCCAAGGTTGACCTTGCCAGCATAGCCAGGTGTGCTTCCTGCTAAGAGCCTCCCCTTTCAGTGGTAACCTCAAAAGAAAAAGGCTGGAAGGGAGAGGAACCTTGTACAGCTACCTCTGAGTCAAATGAGGGAGCACACCCCGCATCCACACGTTTGGGGGGGGGAGGGAGGAGAGGGGGAGCAGTGCCAGTACCCAGTTATCAGATTGGCACCGGGCCTCTGGAAGAAACCTGTACTTGCATCAGTACACAGGTTTGAAAAAGAGGATGGTGAGGCAGTACCAGATAATGTTGTATCACTACCAGCTAGAAATAAACCTCAGTATCCTCAAAGAGGCTGCATGGAGACCGTGTTGGTAGCAGAGGGCCAGTCACGAAAGATGAATATCGAGGGCAAGTAGGCTCTTGGAGGTAAGCTGGTACCAGTGCAGAGTACCAGTGATTTGGGCTCTTTAAGGATTTGCAGGTCTTCATGAGATAGGAGCCTGGACTGTACCAGGGACTCTGAATTGGGTTCCTCAGGTGTCAGAATGTCAGGTCGTACTGAAGACTGTACCAAAGTGTGATCAGTACACCTTTTGCTTCTGGCTACAGAAGACAGTAACAATGAGGACTGCACCTTGGCTCTGGACTTGGGAGGCACTAAGCCCGATGCTCGTGCTGCTCTAGACAGCTTCTCAGTATGCAAATGGTCTTCTTAGCTGGTACCCTGGACGCAATACTAGAGGGAATGGGAGCCTCAGTGGCACTAAGATTGGGATGTGAGGTAGGCACAGACTTGCGGACACTGCTGACAAAAATCTCTGATCAAGAACGCACTGTCTGCACACTTTGAATAGTGTCCCCAGAGGTGTTCCATGTTACAAAGTAGTATATTTATGAAGGATTGAAAAAACATGTAACAACAGTTTCATAAAAGTAACGTATCTTCAAAAACTCAGAGTAAAGAAATACCTTCATAGACACTGTCTTGCTTGCCTATTAAGTCAGGAGCCTGGCCTTTGTACCTGCACCAAACAAGAAGAATATTTTATTAAGAGCATACTAAGTAACAAAATGTCTCAAAAGAACAATGATATACACATATATATTTAAAAATAGAACTATATTACAGTTAGGTAATATGTAAAATGTTTTCTGAGGATTGCTACTCAGGAACAATAGTCTATATTCAACAAATGGCCTGTTAAGAGTGGGAGTCTTATAGCATATAACCTTAAAAAAAAAAATCCATTTTGTGATACCGAAAGAAGGATGCTAATACTCCTAAAAAATACTGTAATAGCTTCATTTTTAAAGCTGCTGGGCTAATCAAACTACTTACCTGTTTCTTAGTAAAAATGGATTCAAGCAGGGCTTGAATCTAGGCTCCAAGACTTGTTTATTACATGTATTTTGGAAAATTATTAAACGATGAAAAGATTTAATTTTCCCTTTCCATAAAAGGTGTGATCTTAGAAAGATTTTTAATCTCAGTTACCACCAACAATACTGGTGCGAACTGTAAAGCCGGCAAAATCAAACTCTCTTTAAGATGCATACATTGATGGACGTTTTCAATTTTCCCTCTTAATGAAACTTCCCAAACCTAATGAAATCTCCCACCACAATTTTCTTTTGTACCTTTCTGATGTTGATGTCTTGGATTTACTTTTCAAGGCCAAATATTTCTCTCTGCAGCTGCCACACAATAGGTAGTATGGATTTCCACTTCCACATTCACCACCGAACCATCCATCCACATAGGAACCATTGCTACGATAGCCTTGTCGATTTGCACTACGGCCACAACCAGGGTGATTTCTTTTCATGTGTTGATTGAAGCTGACAACACTGGATTCACACAATTCACAAACCACCACTTCTTCTCTGTCTTCAGACTCACAAACATGCTGTATAATATAATTTTCATATGAAATTACTAGATATAGAATAATTATGCTCATATTAGAAACAAGAGTACTTCTATTTTTGTTAAGTGGATTTTTCTATTTATGTCTGCTAAGCACGCATGACGGTATTTGTGTTGTAGGTTTTACTTAGAAGCAGACCAGAGGTGGCTAAGTTATTGTGGGCGGAGGAAGGTGGCAGGTGTCTTTCCCTTTTTGATTGTAGTACAACATTTCCATAAAAAAAAAAAAATCTTATACTTGTGCACTCTCTCACCTTGATCAAGCCCAGTTTAGCTAGCCCGACCTTCTCGTATGTAATAACTTGTTCTTCAAAACAAGTATAAGTAGTTGATCTTTCAATTTATGCTTTCACAAAGTATAGAAAGGATGATTTAGAAAAAAGGGAAGGGGGGGAGAAATCTGTCCCAATATGTCACATTACACTGGTCTACAATTTTTGAGAAGTCGTCTGCTTCAGAGATAAAATGTGCTATTTATTATGTATTTTGATGTGCTGAATTCAAATATGACAATTAAAACAACAGATTGGCTACTGTTTCTAAGATATTTAAGTTTTTACATTTTATGTCTATGTATATTGTGTAGATGATAGAGTTTTAATAAAATTGTAAACCTAGGTCTTCTCATGTGTTTATGGTTGCTTTACATGATAATATTTCACCTGTCCTGTTTATGTAACACTTTAAAAATCAGCAAAAGGGTTATATAAATAAAATTTATTATGAAACAAAAGGCAAAAAACTATTATGTACATAGTTTAGTCCTATTCAGTGTCTACTTGGCGCTTCTTGGCTTGTCTCTTGTATTCATTAAATGGAGCATCTCTTGTCACTGTCCAGCAATAGTCTGGGGCCCACCTCTTGTCCTCATCTCCAATTTTGCAGCCAAAATAAAGATGATAGGCTTTCTTAACCATAGTGGTTATACTGCAATTTGGAGATGCAAAAGTCACTTCACCACAAACCTAGCAGAAGTTATCTACACTGTTCACACAAGTACGAGGCATCTCTGCTCACTTTGGCTAAACAGAAATGTGTCCCTTTGCAAAATCAAACACTGAAAAATAGGAGAGCACGACACTGTATGATTTCTAGAGCTGATATAGGGTAATTTGTTCAGCAGAGTGACGTAAGCTTCGTTATGATTGCATCATCCATGACTTCTAGGAATAACATGATGCAATTCATATCACGTATGACGCAATACCAGCTTCAGATTGCATCATTCATTGTTTTGCCTAAAAAGCAAGTACTGTCCAAACCCAGTCATAGATTTATTCATAGATCCAGTCAAAGATGTATTTTAGTCATTTCTGGTTTAAATTGAGATCCCTTCCCTTTATAACTCATTTATCCTCCACCATTCCCAAGTCAAGGGTCGTATATACTGATCCAATAGCATATCTTGAAAACTAGAGCCAATCAACAATTTTAAGCATCATTTTCGTTCTCAGCGACCCAGAATTAGTAAAGTTTGACTACATTTATTTCAGAAGCATTTTGGCTGTAGAGCAGTGTTATCAGAACTTCTGCCTCTAAATTCCTTACAATCTAGCCCTCAAGAATCATTCTGCTTCAGCCCACCAAAGACTATATAAGTTATTCATTTACTCATTTATTGGCAGAGTTTGGATACAGAACAGGGAAAAAATGTAATATTTTTTCAGACTGTTGGCTACTACATTCAATGAGTGACATTGATTACTGCTCAAATCTACACATACAGTTCACCAAAGTGTCTGAATTTGGAACTCACTGATTGAAGATGGCAATTCTACCAAAAGCTGTTAGTACTGTCAAGAATCTCAGTTTAAACAGACTTACTAGGAACTTAAATACACATGGCCAAATTTTCAAATTCTGCCTTTGAAACTACACATGCAAATATGTTCATATTGTCTGAATGTGCAAATCAGGTAACTGCGTGTTACAAAACCCCCCACAAGTTTCAACTGAGCGTACTAATTTGTGAAATCAGCCAACAAAGCTGCATACCCAACGTCTAAGGAAGCTGCAGTTATTAAATTTACCAATCTCATTTTAACTATAGGGAACACTGAAAATACCACAATAAAGACAAATACTGTATGTGAGATCGTAATAGTAACATTTTAACAGTACCTACTGTAACATGCATAGCAACACTGAACACAGTCACACTAAGATATCAAGTCTAATTCGCCTGTAAATTACACTGCTGTAAATCAGGACTAACTGAAGTCAATGGAGTTACACAGGTGATAGGAGAATAGAGCCAACTATATCAACTTTTGCAAAACTTAGAGGTAGTAATATTATTATAGGACAGTGTCACAAAAACAACAAAGCCTCTCAATCCTCTTTATATGACTACAATGAAGGGGGAAAAAGCTAATCTGAACTAATGGCTCCCTCTAAATACAGAAAACAAACTTTCATTGCTATAACGAAGATACAACTGAATGAACGGGAACTTTATTCCATTTCACTGGACAGTATCTCCTATCAGTTTCATTTGTTTGCTTTGTTTTTTTCTAACTGAAGAATGGTTAGCAATTGTTTTATCCTTCTACTGCTTTATCCCACATAAATTTAGCAATCTAGTACAGGCGTTTGTTTTCTAAAATTGGATGTCATGATCAAAATAAATTAGCTAATGTACCACTTATTCCTTTTCTTAGGGAAGAAACTAATGAAGTATGTGCAGATGAACACAGCAAGAATCAACGGAATAAATTAGTTATGTACAGCTCTCTTCTCATTAAAGTGATGCTACAGACATCAAAGTAGCTTTAAGCACTATTATGGTTTAGAAACTCATTATGTCCAAGCAGAAAGCTATTAATGCAATGTGTTATTTTAATTGTGAAATATGATTTTGCAAAAAGCAGTAAGTAAGTAAAAGCAGCCCCAGCTGCAGTCACACACACCCAGGTAGGCCAATCCAATACCTCTGGGATCCACATTCCCAGAATATCATTATCACTGGCCAGATCCTGTCCAAACATTGCTTCCATTGCTTCATCATCAAGGTCAATTTCTAACTCTTCATCCAAGTTGAAGTCATATAAGGCTCCTGGATCTTGCTGCAAAGATATTCCCTCTCTCCGACTCTGATTTCTGTGAGCCTGTACGGAGCGGTATAATCCCGCTCAAATCAAAGAGAAAACATTCTTTACTTTGCATGTAATTAAAAAGATAGCCCATTCAAAAGCTTTTTAAAAATACTACTAGTAAAATTAATATATTTTTATTCATTCCTGTATATAAGAAATTAAGCTAAATATATACTGAAATATGTACAAGCAGGATTTATTTTTTTAAAGTTCCATATTAGATGCTAAATACCTTCTTCTCCCAAATTTATCAAATGAACAAAGATGTTCGAATCATTTTAGTGCACTTACCAGCACGTGCTAGCAATGTCCGGGCAGCTAAGTCAAATTTGTGTCTCCTTGTTACTGCTGACCGACCTCTTGAGGGGGGTCCACTTCCAGAAGCTGCATTCTCTGCATGATCCATATTATCAGGACTGGGAGAATAGTTTGAATATTCAACAGGTAAGCCAAAAAACATTTTGCATGGATCTTACAAAAAAAAAAAGAAGTGAAAACACTGATGGTAGTAAATTCAATTTTCTCCCTCCAAAAAAGGAACTTCAGAAATTTATCATCTTGTTTCTATTCATATTTATACTATAACCCCCATTAATAATGAGAAGGAGTTGCATGCATGTGTTACATCAGCAAAAGAACACAAGAAGGCTGATGTATCATCCTTGACTTACTCTGTGGGGCCTAGATATTGCAGGAGCCTCAGAAAAGTATTCATTTTACATTCTGCACACTACTAGCATAAACTGGGAAACAACAGAAATATAAACATCTGTTTATCTCCTCAATCACTCTCCCTTTTTGACAAACGTAAGGATGTGTGTATGGAAAAGTAACCTTTAAATGTGTGACCCCTAATATTTATTCTTCACCTGAAGTTAAGTCTCTGTGACATTATAATTATCTCTAGAGCCAGTAACTGTGACACCCAGGGCCAAATATCTAAGCAGGATTAAGCAACCAAACAAGATAAACTCAGAAGACAAAATGACACGTTTTTCACACAAATAATACTTCCTACTAATAAAAATCTGAATGGACTTATAAATAGGCCTAAGATTTATGACACAGGTACAATTGTTTCTATATAAAATGTTTTTCCCCTAACAATTTGCAATATCTACTCTTTAAAGGACAGAATCATTCTTATGAGATAAATATCAATATAAAATGACACACTATTCTTTCCTTTCTAGAAAACAGAATTTAAATCTGCCTGAGGTCAAGAGTGTGATTAAGATTGTTGGCTTTAGTTTAGTTCCTGATTAATGTATCTCTTCATCATAAAGTCCCCACCTAATTTAGCATAACCAGCACAATCTGAAAGTGCTTTTGACTGACAGGTATTAACATTATCCCTCCCCTCAGGAGTGGGCCACAGCTTAAAAAGGAAGTGAAATTAAGGAATGCAGTAGCATTATAAAGCTTAGTGAGAAAACATGCATGAGCACTATATTTTAAAAAATGAATAAACTAAATATCCAATGAAGTTTCTCTTTTCATTGTAGTCAGACCATTAATATCATATGGTTTAATTATCTTGGAGGGGGATATATCCAGTTTACTTTTTTCTTAATAAACACAATACTGTAAATAAACAAACAAAAACTAATTTACTGGACAACTCCACTTCTACGCATAAACCACTGTACAAAATTAATTCAAAGTGGTATTTTGGAGTCTTCTTCTGGCAACTACCAAATTTCTGAAATAGCAGCAGCAGGGTTCATACAATCAGAAAAGAACTACATTTTACCTTTCACTGAAACCTTCCTCCATTTCAGTGGCATCAGCTGAAGGGATATCTCCTGGTGATTGTAAATAACACTGTTCACTAGATTTTCCACTGCTTCCAGAAACTATTGTCCCATGATGTGAATCTGCAGTTCCTTCTGACTGGGGCTCTTCATCTTCTTCATTCCCAGGATGCTCTATCATCCACATGGCCAGCACTGTGATATTCTGAGCATCCGCTTCTCCTCTTGCACCTGAAAAGCAAGAAAATCTTACCTTATAATTTTATAGCACTGTTGATGAAAAAAATCCATTTACTCTTTCCATAACTGGTCATGGCATTTGAGAGTTCAAAGCTTATAGCATACAATGTTCCATTAAAAAAACCTGTTTCATATTCAACTGTGTTTTCAAGTGTAATAGGTATTATTCAACAAACAGATCACCTGTGGCTTCCATAGCTTTTGCAATTTGCCTGAGAGAGAATCCCATTTCTAACAATGGAACAGCAATGGCAGGTGGAGGAGGAGAAGTTGAAAGCCGACTACTTGGATCTGACAAAGCTAAGAGAAAAAAAGAAAAAAGTTAACTGATGGTTGCATAAGTTATCGATATGCTTTTGCCTTTCTTTGGTCTTTTGCATTTTATTAGGCTTCTTTAATCATTTATTCCGTTATTAGTTGAGGATTAAGAATTAAAGAAAATTTGTTCCCTGAGAACTTTCCTTCTAACATCTTCACTAATTTGCAGTTCTGGATCATCTCCTTTCCATAATAAAACCAGAGAGAGTTCCTCTTCCTTTAATTGGCCAGATGACGGTTTCCAAGACTATGTAAACATTTACTTGATCAATTAAGGTCAATGCAATTTCAACATTTTGAATTAATTTATTTATTTACATCCAGTTGAAACCCTACCAAGCTACTCTTAGATTGGGTGGACTAAGTTCAGCTTGGTTGGACTTGGTTCAGAGGATCAACAGCCTTCAGGAGATCACATCAAGATATTCTGCCATAAGTAGCAGCTAGACACACTTGCATAGCTGCTGAGGATACTTCAAAGTCTCTTTCAAGGGTGTGTTCTATCTTCCTGCAACAGAGTCTTTCAAAGGAAAAATAATCACCAACTGAAAATGATTATTATATCCTTGAAAAGGCCAACATCTCTCCAAGAACTGCTGCTCCAGAGCTTAGAAGAAAAGAAAAAAGATGTACTTATTACTTGCCATGAAGGTGAGGATTAATGTGTGAAAGCATTAAAGTAGCAAGAGAACTTGCTGCCACCTAATCCTGATGCTGGAGGCAAAGCATCTGGAGAGACAGAAAAAAAAAAAGAGACAGTCTAGTGGCTGAGCAGACAAGTTGCTAAGCAACAGTCTGAGTTGCCAAAAAGAGCACTGCAGAAAGGAGACAACCAGAACTATGGATTAATAAAGATGTTATGAAGGAGGAAAACGCAAGTTGTATACCTTTATCCTGCATCATTCTGGAATATGAAATATCCCCCTCAACACTGAACATCAAATCTCGAGGAGAGAAGTTGATTTAGTTTTCATGTTAGTCACTCAAACATATTGAGCTGACTTTTTCTTATTATAATATTATAAGGTGAACATTTTACTGAGTGATGTGAATGTTAACTCTGACATCAGCAGGAGTAGGGATTTACTGATGCAATGTACAAATTCTAATAATGGTACTTCCAACTGGATATCATCATTCCTCAGATAAGGGGAAAATAGTCAGAAAAAATGATGCTATTTAATTACTCTGTTCAGTTTCAACTTTTTATATATTACTCAAAACAGAAGCTTGCCCTTGTAACTCACAGGCAGGATTAACTGGAGAGACTATATTTCAGAAATATATAGTAATGATGGATACCAGAAAATAAATCAATACATTCTAGTGTTATAAGTGATGTATTCTAACTTGTGATGGATCACTCTTGAAGTTTGTTCTGTTAAGCAACTCTGTGAGCAAAGACCAAAAGTAAAATAATATTCTAGAGTTATTTATCATAGTTAGTAATACCACCTGTTCATTCTTGTACACGGCTATCAGTATGCAATCCATTCAGCTACTTATAAGCACCAATTTTAACTTTTTTTCCTAGCAGTCAGTTGCTGGCTTTTAGTACTAAGCTCTCTACCATAAGATTTTAGTTATGACATGCATACTTAATTTTATCAAAATGTAGACTTCAAATTAGTTAATGATGCCTTATAAGCCTACTCTGAACATATTTAAATTTACGAAACTCCTATGTTTCCTACTAAGTTATTTGTTGCTTACAAGTATACCTGTACGATTGGCAGGTCTTGCGGACTGGGAATCAGGAGAGGTCAGACTCTGCCTCCTTCCCACTTCATCAGAAGGAGATGTTGGTAAGGAGGATATTGGAGGAGTTTGTGCACGTCGTGTTGGAAGTACTGTAGTGGTTGGGTAACTTGAGAACATTTGCCTTTCAAAAAAGGAAAAATGTATTTAGACTACACTACATCGCCACACTGTGGAAGTCTTGCACCAGGCCTACCATCTAGTACTGATGAGAGAGGGTGGGCACTTAAAAGTAAATGCCCATGCTACCTTAACAGCAGAACCCAGTGCAGTTTTATATAAGGTTAGGGGGCATTATTCTGGTGTGACGGGCCTTGCAGGGACAACACAATCCCTATGCTGTTGCAGGGCAGCTCAGTTCTGCAGTGTGCCTTTGCACAACACCACACAGGAGTGGGTAGAAGCAGGGTATGGGCTGGACTAGGATATCCAGCATCAGAAGTACTCTTCCTTCCAACTTTCCAGAACATCTGCTCAGTGTCCAGTCCAGCTATGCTGGCCAGAGGATTTGTCCTTTAGGATATGAATGTTTCAGAATGAGAGGCCTCCCACTGTACTAGTCCTCAGTTCCTATCTGCCTCAAAACATCCCCTAAAGAGTCCTAAGAAGAGGGAAGATCGATATGGATCTGCAGAAGCAATAACAAAAAATTGAATTCCATTTAATGAAAAGAAGCTTTCCTTCTTCATCATGAATAGCAGATCTACACTGTAGGAGATTAACTAGCAATATCACACTATGACAACTGAGGAGAGTTTCAATACACAGGGTCTGAAGGACAACTCTCTTGAACCAAAGCCTGATCTAGCTCCAGAATCAACAATAATTAATTAAAATGTTAAGTGTGGGCAGCCTTTTAAAAAATAACCAACAAACAAAAACCAGGACATAAGGAAGAGTATGAGGAAGGATATAGGGAAGGTATTTTTAATAGCTTCCAGTTCTGGAACATTAAGATCCTAAGCCCCTTAGCAGTCCAGTGGCTTCTGAGATATGGTGAGAGACATATAGCCTATCTCTGTAGAAACAATTCATAATGCAGAATAAAAGTATCGGAAATTTGAAAAAAGACACCCACCAGGACAAAGACACTAAGAAGTAGTATATCAAAAAGATCCACTTGAGCTAGTACAGAAAAAACAGTCAAATGTACTTTATTATTATTATTATTGTTAAGCACTCTACCTAAGAAGACTAAGAGGCATAACTCCAGGTGATTCTGAAGCTGGCACTGTTTCAGTATCTGTTACTGGGGTAGTAGCAGTAGTAGTATCCTCCAGAGAGCTGCTCATAAAAGATGTAGTACTAGAAGCAGAAGGACTGGTAGTAACTGGTGTTTGGGCCTGTTGAGCTTGTTCACTTTCTTCTGCTTGCTGGTCTACTTCTGCAACGCAAAAAGGATGTTACAGGAACATTTAGATAATGCTACAGAATGAATGAGTGGCTCTCCCTAGCCTTAAGTTTTGTGTAGTGGTCTTTATAAATATACACACATCCACATGCACAGTTTACAAAAATATTTCTGCCCAATATCTTGCTGACTAAGGAAAATATGTTGGTCAACTCATGTTATTCTCATAATGATGAAAAGTAGTTGATAAACAATTTTTTTTAAGATGGTTAGAGAGAACAAAAGCTCCTTTCTTCATTAGATCTTATTATAGATGCTAAACTACAGCAGTTAGATTTTAACTTTCTCTTTTGTCTGAGAGATCAGGTTTAAGAGATTAAGACATGTAATCTCTGGTGTGGAAATATAGTTATTTACAAAAATGACTATGTAAAATAAACCGTATAGCTTCCCGCAGCAAAATAATCTAGAATATTTAAGAAGTTTCTACATCTGAGTCAGTTGGTTCTGTTTAATTTATTTGTTCTTTTTAAAATAAAACAAAAATAAAGAGGTTCAAAATCTGCTATTTAATTGGCTGTGACTGGGACAGTGTGACAAGTAGCTTCCCTGAAGTTCCGACAATGTCATTCTACATGCAGACAGAGATTCTAAGACTAAGAGCAACACTATTTGTATTAACTCCTTGTCTCTTCAAAGTCGGCATCACATCAGCTAATTCCAAAAAAACTCTGCTCATTGAGGGTTTAAACATGATTGGTGGACTACGTTCAACACATTTATTCTTCATCTACACTGACCACAACCATGTCACAATATAATAAGAAAGGGAGAATCTATCTTTTAAAGTTGGGTATAAACATAAATCTATTTTTTTCTGATTACAGTGATGTGCATTCCTCCTGCATACAGCTCTGAAAGTGTGCCCTAAAGTATCAATCTCTATTTTAATAAGCTAAGCAAATGAAGGGGAGGGGGGGCGCGAATCACCAATGTCCATAAATTCTACAGAATTGATAGGATTTGCTACCTTCCTTAATTTTGTCGGTTGAGATTATCACAAATGTTAATCGCTGCAGAAATATAAGCCTATATGTTATCTATACCCATATTCTAGGTAATTTTAAATTAACTCTAATTAACTTAACAAATCTATATATTATCATAACTTTAAAAAGGTACCTTGTTTAATCTTGCCACCAAACTGGTCCTCCAACAGCCCATGAACCACTAACTTGTAGATCATGGCTTGTGCTCGTTCCAAATCTGCTAGTCCTAGAGCTCTCTTTATTGGTGAACGCATGACTGCCCTTTTCACCATGTGTCGCATCAGGAACTGCAATGCAGCACGCATTTCAACATCTTCATGAACAACTGGAGAACTAGCACAATCAGAATTGTGACCATTTTCTGCAAGGACTTTTGGTATCAGTAGTAACTCAGCATATTTACTACAACTAAGAAGAGCACTCAGCGATTTCATAGCACCAAGGTAAAGATAGGATAACTGTACTGCTCTGATTTCTGACTGTACTACATCATGATTTCTTGGTATGTGTTCATGATTCTTTCTTTTTCCTTCTATGGGTTGATGCTGGGACTCCATACCTAGTGGTGTTGGTTCTAAAGAGAAGGAAGCTATTTCATTTTCTGACTTGGAACACGTGGTGATAGGTCCTCTGATATCATCAGCACTTAGTAGTGATCGCATATCTGATCCAGTGTCCCCCTCCGTTTTTTGTTCAATGTCCCCTTTATCTTCAGTCTCATGTCTGTGTTTTTTCTCATGTCTCTTGGCACTTTGTTTCCCCATGTCTTCATGAATACCAGTCAGATAGGTAAGGTCCAGCAACACAGTAGCTGTCAGTCCACGGAATCTTGCAACATCAAAAGGCAGTGGTTCACAGGGCTCCAGATTATACAATGGAGTATCACTAGGCGACCAAAAAGTTGGGAAGCTTTAATAAAGATCAGAATGACACAGGAAGAAGCAAGTGAGGGATAGACAAGAGGAAAGTACAGGAAATAATGTAGGCAAAATAAGATGTAAAATATATTTAATAAAATAATTTAAATGAACTGACAGTCTAAAAATTAAATGTAAACAAGGGAAAGAAACGAGGTTATGATCAGAAAATGGGGAGATATGATACTCAACGTAAAGGCAGTGAGACATTTACACGTTTTCAACAATGAATGTTAATTTCCAAAAACTTCATATAATCCATTGCTTAGGTAATGACAAGTTTTGGCTGCATTATTTTAAATGTTTTAAGACATTTACAATATAATTTTTTATAATGATCACTTAAAGCACCTGGGTAATTGGTTTGAGCCAGATTTAATCTTTAGTTTATGAAGGACACACAGGCAAAGATTTAACAGTGAAAAGTTATGAACTTTTGCAATGTTACATTGGCAGCAGCTTTAAGTTTTTATCAATTTCACTCTACTGCTTGTCTTTTTATTGCCAAGATGCACAAAAATGATAACCAGAAGCAAAAGCATCACTAGCAATGCAGGGAGCAATTCCATCACTGAATATGAGCCTATCAGTTTCTTTTTTAAATAGGTCATCGACATCCATTCCTGCATCCTAACAATGACCATTCAACGGAGGCATACCATGTATGTAAGATCTCCTACCCCTGGTGACAGACCCTTATATTAAATATTGCCATATGAGTCACTGCCTCCATCATAAACAGGACAAATAGAAAAAACCTGCAGGCATATATTTTCCACATATCCAGCAGATTTACAAATTCAGAATCTTCCCTATAGTTTTTGATATCCTCAATATTTTCTTCAGCATTTAGACTTAAAAAAAAAATTAAAAAAGCAGGCTTCAGTTTCTAACCCTTCTACAGATGAAAACATTCTAAAAAATAACCATTGCAGTGTTGTGTTATAGAGACCTTGTCTATATATAAATGAGTATCACACCTGCTTAAATAGATTTTAAAATTGGTGCAATCTCCTTCTGCAGACTCACTCAAATCTGTTTACATCTGATTTAATTTGGTAATTGAATTAAGTGGAATTGATTTAGTTAAACTGGCACAACTTTGTGTATACACATGGCATTAATCTGGAGACAGGCTAATACGACAGTTCTAAGAGATGTGAACAGCCACCATTCATCTCAAAGAAGAATTAAACTTTTAAATTTAATTATGCCCAGAGTCAAAAGAAATCAGTGGTGATGAATTTCTTTAGAAGACTGGGAATCAAGCTATCTCCAAAAAACTATGAATACAGGGAAATCTAATTTTCCGCAGAAAACACTCAGCCAATTCACATAAAGATAAATGCAGGTTAGTCAATAAAACTTTGTATCCAAGAAGTTGTAATAAAAATTCAGAAAGAGAACATATTAATAAGCCTAGATATAAACTTCAAATATAAGCAACACTTACGTCAAATGTAGCTCACAAGCATGAGGATGTCCTCAAATCAGGAAATTTAGAGTCAAAACTCAGTTTAAAAACTATCAAATCATGTTGATGAATTCAAGCTTTCCAAATGACAATTATATACTGGCTATACAAGACAGATATTTTATTTCTTTAAATTCAAAGTTCAACCGAGTTGTTTTTCAAGTCAGAATTCTTGAAAGTTGCTTTAACAAGCTGAATGCCCAAGCATCTACTTTAAGCTTAAAAGTTACTAGTGACTGAAAAGTCGTGTTTCAGATGTAAAATGTATGTTACTTACGAAGTTTTCTAAGCACTAAAAATTGCTAACTAGTGCAAAGAATAACTGAACGCAATATACCTGATAGTAATCTCTGCTTCATCCCACTGGACCTTAGCAGACGTACTGCCCTCTTTGACTACTCCAAGTAAAGTGGCATGACGTCCAGTTTGCTTGTGTACACATCGGCCTCCAACTCTAAGACCAGCATCAACTCCACCAATTACTGCAAGCACAGGCCACACCTCTACACAGAGAGTCTTAAGCTGAAGTTCCGAGAGGTCAGCAAGACCATGTCTACTATGTTTATTTTTCTCCTCTTCTTTATTCTCTTTCTCCTCTCTCATGTCATTCTCATCTCGACTTTGGACCGAGCGACTTTTCTTCAGTTTTTGACCTGCTTCTTTAAGGCACATTTTGATTTTGTGTAGCCGTTCCATCATTTTTTTATTGATGCAGTGCGTCCAACGGTCTGCACGATGAAGGATGCGGATAAGTTGGATAGTGGCCTCTGCCAGCACTGCAGCAACAGGACTACAGATAGGGTCACCAGGTAGCAAGTCCCTTGGGGTGCCACGCATCTGCATATCACAAATTTTCACCTTAGTGTTAAAACAAAAACAAAAAAAATCAAAGTTATGCTGTCAACTTATGTTTGTAAAGCTTATTCTAATTCTATAGTCTTTCCTGATGAATTGAAAGCGCTAACATTTTTGTCTTTTTGTATCTGTCCCCTGTGAAATTCACTATCATGTTTTCTTGGTATTGAAGAGAAAACTCACCTGCCCCTTTACAACAAACTCCAATAAAACTGTGAAATGCAAAAACTAAGTAAACTCAAGGTTTCTAAGAAAAGAACTGTAGGTAGTCCAAAATATACCTAATACTGGAATTTGTTCCAAGTCTACTGACAGACATCTGGATACAAGATTCAGAGTCTTATAGGACACAGAACAGGTCTATCGATAGATTGCAAAATGTAGGAATTTAACTAAAGTCTACCACATTTTTTCTGGTAGTGTAGTAATGACCCAAATGAACAATCAGTGGAGTTCTCTCCATAAATCAGCTAAAAAACAGTCAACACTTCCATATAGTAGGACAGGAAGCAAAAAATAATCCCATATGACCTGTTACTGTTATGCAGATATAAATTTCAGTTACCTTTTCCCCTGGGTTACTGCTATAAAACATTACACAAGGGTATAATTCTGCTGCATCCACATCTTCAAAAGCTAGTTTTGGCTCCTAGTTAAAAATAAGACGAGGAATAGAAACTTTTAAAATAACTGGGTTTTAGAATTAGACAATTTTAAATAATTATTTTTTACTTCTTTAAAATCTTTACAAGTAATAAAACTAACTTTTTTGTGGTTTTAGAATCATGTGTAAGTTACCAAATGTTTACAGTCAAAGTTACTTCAGAAAAATATTAAAGAAAAAAGAAACACAGAAAACAGTTAAATACCTCTCCATTTTTACCAAAGGAAATAGTTCTAGCTTCCATATCTAATACACATGTGATGAAGTCTCCTTGGGTAAAACTGGACAGAGTCAAAGTCTGTTCCCCATTATGATACAGGTTACCACTGTAGGCTCTATACAGCCACATATCTGAGGTAGTGCGATGGTTAAAGTCATGTACTGGCCAGCGAGACACTCCTACGCATGTGCCTTCATTGCCTCGATTTTCCTTCACAATATAGAACTAGAAGGATTAAAAAAAAATAATACCATGGCATAATTCAACATAACAGTGTAATACTGAGCATAGGAATTATTATATTCAAGCAGTGAGGAGAATATACCCTTAGTATAAGAATTTAAGGAGAGTTTTAAATATGTTACATGTAAGATAGCAAAATTTTCATAAATTAATACCTTTAACACATTGGTTGAACACACTTTTCTTCCCTCTAAAATTCAATTTTTCCAATGACAAGGTCAGTCTCCAACGAGTGATTTATCTACTAGCAACCATTGAGTATTTGGACACCAACAGATGTCTCAAAAGTTCATGTTACCTTTTCCAGACACAAACCAAATACCAGTGCACTTTCAATTTAAGTAGTATATATGTACTTTTACAAGTTAGAAGGTAACATATAGTTGAAGTGATGTTAGTCAGCAAAATAAATGAGTTTCACTCACGTTTAAAGTGAACAATTTATCCAGAAAAGCACAAGCTACAATATACTATCCTCAGAGAGAAAGAATACAGAAAATATATACAGAAATGCCATATGTAACTAGGTTTGTAACAGAACTACTCTGGATGATTTGTTAGAGAATGACCTTGTCTGAGAAATGTCATATACCCATAAGAAAATTTATGCATTCTCTGAGTGGAGAAATTCAGATTTACGTAGGCTGGTGTGTAATACTCCCTTCAGATGGCAGTGCAGCCTTATTTGTCGAAAACAGAAGCTACATAGTGTATTTGCATTAGCCTACATATATCTGTTAGATCTAGTGAAAGTGTGTGTGGAGGCCTACACAATAAATTTTTGTAACTGATTTAGTAAAGCGTTGCCTTTCTCATCCAGAAGCTGGCAGAGATTCTTGTGACATAGACCTTGACCTGGGTAAGACAGGGCAGGCCTTGAACAGTACACTCATCATCTTTGGCTAACATGTTTTGGCCCTCTCCACTTTTTTTGTCCATTCAAAATTAATGCGAAAAGTAATCAGGTTTTTTTTAAAGCTAGTTATATTTACATAGGACTTTATGGGTCATCCAATATTAAGAAAGAGGAGGCATCTGTCAGTCTTGTTGAAGAGGAAAAACTATTCATAGTGAAAATAAGTTGGGTACTGATGAACAGAAGGTGGCACAATATGGAAGACAACCTAGTGATAAACTAAGTTTGGAGAGCCTGTATGCTAGGGCTATTAATCTCAGACATCTGACAATTATCATGAGAATGTGTGATAATAAGGATTAAAAACAGAGGGACACTTGAAAGAGGCTCATTAGGAGGAGTGCACAGAGACAGGATTCAGAACCAGGATTTTAGCCAAAATGCACACGGGCCAGGTTAGCACAGCCACTAACTGGGCCCAGAGCCAAAGGGCCAGATCCCAATACTTGATTGCTTACACTGTATGCATTGTCCTATTGATTTCAAAATGGACTATTTGCAGATAAAAGGTACTGCTAATTATGAGCAAAGCTACTATTATCTGGCCCAATGTGTATAAAGAAAGGTATCATGCAAGTATTTGGGTACAAAATCAGTCCCTTCTGAATGTCTTGAGATTGATCTTAGACTAAGATGAGAGAAATTCAATAAAGTATTCAACAGTCTGCAGGTGGCATACAGCTGGTAAACAGGTAGGAAGAACAGAAGAATTCATAGGCTCTTCATCAGAAGAAAGGGTTTTCGGGGAGCAGTTAGCAACAGTGGAACTCACTTTGGGGACAGCATGTCTTCTGAGTTGGCAACCTCTATTGCTGAAGAAATTTGACAGAAGAATGAAACAAAAATCAGGTGCACTCCACATACTATCTTAGTTTTTTGGATACCAGGATGCCATTGATTAGCATCATCCTGTGTGTTCCCACAATTAAGAGAATGCAAATTAAATCTAGGTCTTTTGAACAATGTGGAGGGGAAAACTTCAAAGGGTTAGCAATAATTAAGCATAAGAGGTAAAACTACAAGGGTGAATTTTAGACTGATTAGGAACTTGATCCTGGAAACAGACCTTTGAAATGCAAGGATAAAGTCAGTTCATATTGAGTGAGGTAATTGTGGCCTAAGATGTCTAGGGCAGTAAAAAGATTCTTCTGAAATGAAGAGCATGAAGAACAATTTATGCTATTCACTGACACATTACCAAATAGAAGAATGACACCACAGACTGGGGTAAGGATGTTGGAGAAAGTGCATTGACTGATGGGCCCAGACTGGTTTAACAGAACATTTTCTTTTATGAGCAGGTGATTTTTAGACACAATTTTGGCAAGAGCAAAGAACGGATAATCCAGCTTTGCTGTGGCTGCCACAAAGGTCTTGACTTTCAGAGAAGATAAATCTGGGAGAAAGGGGATAGATCCACATTCCAAATCCCAAAATCTACCCTTACTCCAAAATACAATTTCAAAACATTTGGTCTAATTACTCTAAAAATGGGATTTATATAAGACAGTTTTGCAAAAAAGCCATGAAAATTTAGTAGGCCAGATACAAGATCTACTCCCCCTTTTACCATGATGATTGATGATAAAAAAAAAAGCATCTTTCCCCACTGCTCCCCCCACCCAAAAAGAACTAAAAAAATTACTTGCAGTGGGGAAGGAGAATTTTGCAAGGCTGTTTTAAATTGATGCCTTTTATACCGACTTTGGAATTAAAAGGAAATCACCATCAACAACGAAAAAAACAAAGGACTTCATAGCCATCAGCTCTTGGTTCTAAGCAGCAACTAAGAGATCTGCTCCAGTGACAGGAGCACCATAAACAGGAGCACTCAAAATACAGCATTGTGCAGTTTATTTTAGATAGAGAATAGTCCTTTAATCACTAGGTTTTGCTTCTTCTATAGTACAGTACATTCTTGAATATTTATTTATAAAACAGTATTTTTCTGAAGCAAAGAAAGAGAACTGAAGACAGAATAAAAATAATGCATTTTATTCCATATACCTTCCACTGATAACACCCAGAAGTGACTCCTGTGGATGCTAGTCCGTATCCTTTACCTCCACTGCCATGAGTTAAAATCTGCCCATTCTCTACTATGCAGCATTGAGCTTTCTCAGGATCAAAGGACACTTCCTGTATAGGAAGATTCTCGTCCTCTTCTTCAGATTCTCCCTGCTTCTATCAGAAATGGAACAAAATAAACACCTCATAATTATATAACTCAGAAGCATCTAATGAAAATTTTAAAAAGGACTATTACCTGCAGCTTCATTTCTTGTTCTCTCTCTTTTATTTGAATTGCATATTTAGCCTGAGCTATCGGTGTCTCCCACATGCAGTCAGACAGAAGTGAGAACAATCGTTCAACAACCTGTTGTATTAGAGCATACTTCAGATCATTTTAATCCCAAACTTGTGAAAACAAATAATATGTTTAAACTATTTTGGTCTATTTTGTAACTAGTTTAAGATCTGTAGTGAGCATTCATAGATAAGTAAATATAGTGAGCACTGGGTGGCCAAAATTCTGAAAATCTAACAAGCACTGCTTAATTTAAATTTTTATTGTATGAGATTTGCTGTGGAAAACAACAACTTAAAAAGTTTATTTAAAAATATATAAACCTGAGCCATCTGATCATCTTCAACACCAGATTCACACGCAGGCAACACAGCTTCTAGTACATGAAGTGCAAGGAGTCTGGTCCTTAGGTTGCCCACTAGAGGTACTCCTTCAAGAGGAGAAGTGTGTTACTAACAACCACTAAAACATACTGAGTAAAACTACAATAATGATCACCATCAATAATTTACTAAAATCAATTAATTTTTTTAGCTGAACGCTGAATAAGTGTAACATGTACATTAGAAACACCACACGTATACATATACATACAGACACAGAGAGAATCCATTTTGAATAGATCATACCTGAACAACACTTTTGAGATGCAATATTAAGAAGCACCTCTGTCCATTTTGGAGAAGCCATTTTTGACTGAATGGCTTTTGAAGAAACAACTCTTCGTAGAAAGACTAAAAAGTCTCCCAGGTGCAATTCTGCTGCATGTTGCTTCCGGAGTGCAGCTGAAGATTAAAATAAAGTCATTGCTAAAAATTCTAAGCCATGAATTGATTGATATACTTGCAGTAAACAACCTACATATACATAATATTTAGGTCATGAAAAATGTCAGAAAATTCACAGACACTTAGTTGTGGTTGCAGGCTTACTTGGTTTTTGAGAACAGTGAGAGCCCACACCAGAATGCCACCAACTTCAGCTTCCAGGCTATTCTGTAAAAGGCTGTAAAATGTGCCTCAGCATGCATCTGGCAGATCATAACTACAGTAGAACCTTAGGGTTGGTCTACACTGGAGGGGGGGGGGGAAATCGATCTAAGATACGCAACTTCAGCTACGCAAATAGTGTAGCTGAAGTCGAATTATCTAAGATCGAATTACCCGGGGGTCCACACGGCGTGGGCTCGACGGCTGCGGCTCCCCCATCAACTATGCAACCGTCGCTTGCTCCGGTGGAGTTGCGGAGTCGACGGGGAGCGCGTTCGGGGATCAATATATCGCGTCTTAACGAGACGCGATATATCGATCCCCGATAGATCGATTACTACCCGCCAATCCGGCGGGTAGTGAAGACGTACCCTTACAGTTACGAACACCTCGGGAATGGAGGTTGTTCGTAACTGAAATGTTTACTACTCTAAACAAAACATTATGGTTGTTCTTTTAAAAGTTTACAACTGAACATTGGCTTAAAACAGATTTAAAACTTTACTATGCAGAAGAAAAATGCTGCTTTCCCTTTATTTTTTTTAGTAGTTTACGTTTAACGCAGTACTGTATTTTTTTTTTTGGTCTCTGCTGCTGCCTGTGTACTTCTGGTTCCAAATGAGGTGTGTGGTTGAATGGTCAGTTCGTAATTCTGGTGTTCGTAACTCTGAGGTTCTACTGTACTCAAAAACAGCCACACATGCCTTATGGAACACAGAGAGACTATTTTTTAAAATAAATTAGGTATACAGCTATATGCACGTTTACCATAACTGCACAGAGTATTTGGCATACAGATGACCATAATCAACTCTGTATGTGCAAACAATGGCACACCAACCTTACTTAAAAATCAGGCACAAAACTTTTAGTATTTGCAAGTTGTATGTAGCAGTTTAATTGTTTGGACACATTTTATATTAAGGATATATTTACAAAGCATTTATAAATGATTACTAAGTGTTTTAAGCATGTTAGACACTTGAGTCGAAGGTGTTATGGGTGGTTTTAAGACATGATTATTAGCAATCTACTGACGTATTGGACTCTATAACAATCTGTAATAATTGATTATCCATTATTAGCCATACATAAAATGTAACCAATCATCTTAAAGCTCTTTTTTTCCTTTTAAATGGATTTTTGATCCAAAACAGTAAGTCCTCCTTTGTTTCCTGTCTTTTACCTAAGCTGATACTACTACCTTAACTTGTTGGTGACTATTAAAAATGAAAACATTAAAATTTGTTTTCTATGTTAAAACACACCCAACAGTACTACTTCATGTTATAGAATCTATAAGGTACAAAACTACTACTTAAAAAACGAATACTCCTGTGAGTAATCAAACGACCTAACGGGTTCCTTAAGGGACAAGACATTATTTGATGACTTTCATACTAGAAGAGCTTTTATCTTAAAGACCAACTATAGACCCTTGAATATAAAGGTTAGGCTCAGTTTTTTCACATCAAATCACTCTGCAGCTCTCTGCAGAAAATGAAAAGTTGATAGCTATAGAAAATTTTGAATGTGGAATAAGTGTGGACTATGCGATAGCGATAATCTGAGAGGAACCCAGAGGAGAATTCTGCCTATATTATGGGCAATTTGGCTCCTTAAATTACAGTTGTGCAAAACACAACCACTATAATAATCGTATTTTCCAGAGGGGAACAATATTCTCTTCCTAAATATGGAAACGGAGGAAATGGGCCTGATTCTCCACCGCCTTGCACCTTGTTTAGTCCTTTACATATGCGCTAAGCGGATGTAACACTTGTGTGAGTGGAGAATTCTTATTCAGTAGCATTTTATTCTATTCTGCACAGGTGGAAAAGACCACACAAAAGGCAAGATAGTGGAGAGTTAGACTCTTATTGTCTCCCCTCCACCCCCTTTTTTAAAGAAAAGATTAATTCTAATATAACAAAAATGGTGTAAACGTGGTACCTCTGAAGTCTTTCTTCTCATTATCTCCATTTGAATCTAACTTCTTTTCTTCTTCTTCTTCTTCTTCCTCATCTTCCTCACCTTCACCTTCTCCGAAGGAAGCCATAAGCATCACACCAGCTTGTGATAACAGGTTCTTCAACTGACTGCATAGCAGATCCAGCAAAGACTGGACCACTTTGGGACTCAATTTATCAGCATAAGTTCTTTGTGAAAAAATATAAAGATTAAAACATTTCAGAGCTATTCCAAGTAGAAATCATTTTAAGATATGTACATTACAAAATGCTCATTATGCACACATTCAGTACACATGAATATGAGGCACTAACGTAGCACGGGCTGTAATCAGTTCTAGTGTAGTTGGGCACTTCCCCAATTGCTTTCCTACATATTCTGCCAATGCACCTCACCACTAACTTTAGCACTCTGATATTCCAGTCCTCAGTCTCCTTTTAGCAAAAACTGCCAGTGATCTTAAATTACTTAATGTTTCCTGGAGTGGCAAATGAGGATTAGATGAGATCAGCCATCTCATTTTCATTTATCACAAACTAGGATCTGAACCCCAGTTTTAAGAAATTAAGGTGATTACAGTTCAATCGTATAACCACTAAAAATAGTGGGAGCCTTTCCATTGACTTCAATGGGTGCTGGATCAACCCTTTAGTGCTAAAATCACAACACCACCACAACCCCACAACAGCACTTCTTAATGACTGAGTTTACACTTGGCAGCTGACTGTTTACACTTTACAAACATTTAAATAAAAGTGATACATACTGAATATTAATACCCTTGATCAAAATCAGAAACCCTTATTTTCTCCCCTATGTTATTTTTTATTAGTTATGCACTTAAATTAACTCAGTAAGAGTAAGGCTGGTCCCGTTCCCTGGTCCAGCAGCAAATGTTAGCAGCGCTCAGGGAAGTCTGTTAAACCCTGTGAAGAAGCGTGGTATCTCCCTCTTGCTAATAATAATGGAGGGGATTATGCATCAGAATAGCACAAATGACCTCTATAGAGAGCTACATAAGGCCTCATCAGCTGGAGTGAGGGGACCCATGACAAGAACAAGCAGGGAAAAATGAGGAGGATACAAGAAGATCATGCTTGCAGCTCTTGCAGGCACAGGACACTATGAATCCAAACTCAAATCCCTACATAGCAGCTAGTTATGCTATTTTATCGGAAAGGCACACATTGATCTGTTAGTCTTTAAGGTGCCACCAGACTCCTTGTTGTTTTTGTAGATACAGACTAACACGGCTACCCCCTGATAATTGATTTGATTAATACTTGTTTAACATTTTTGTCAAGTCTTTTTTTTTAAGCTAGTGTGCTTCTGAACACTGTTCTTCCATCAAATAGACATTCTTCTGAAAAAAATATTTTATTGTTTAAAAAAAAAATGTTGAAAGAGCTACAGGTGGATCATCATCTAGAAAAAAAAGTCTTCAATTCTTACCCTGTGGTAATGGCAAGGATTTGAAGCAACCTTGTACTAGCCACTTTCAAAGCAGTGCTGAGTTGAGAAATACCAGTTTTGGGCAATAATTGCAGTGGCTGTCCCAGCATGGTGTCTGTGCCACACAACTGTGATAGTACATTTAGTAGACCAGTGGAAATGGCCAAGGAGACATCAACAGGCTGATAGTGTACACTTAGAGCAAAGACAGTTACCAACAGGAGGCGCTGTTGTGCTTCTAAAATTAAAAAAAAACAAAACTCTTTAGAATCAAAGTACTTAAATAACTCTGAAACAATAGCTAGGTCTGTAACAACAAAAATGTATTGCTTGAGGAATGTGTCAGAATGAAAGCCCACTAGTTATCCCCTCAACAAATTCAGCATGAGCAGTAAGGTGGTTGTTTTTTTTTTTAATTCATTTTTTGTAATCCCACTGTATATAATATACAGGTCCTTTTGGTGTTCCATTGTGACCCCTTCACATGATTCACTCTTCCCCCCAAAACATGTTCTCCACTTACCTATGTGGTGTTTATTTGCTTGCAGAGCTCTCTCCAATGTAACAGATAATTGCTGGTAAATCTTGTGCACAGCCACTTGGATTTCAATCTGAATATTTCTCTTGGCTGCTCGGATACCATCCTGAGTCAAACAAATAAGTACTGTAATAATCGTACACATTTTAATTTCTCGACTATTGGAACAGGAAGCATAGACTAGTGGTTAAAACAGAACTAGGGCTTTGGAGACCTGGGTTCTGCCTCAGTTTCCTCACCTGTAAAACAGCGGTAATACTTCCCCTATCTTACAAAAATGAGTCATTAATGTTTACAAAGTGCTTTTAACATCCTCAGATACAGAATGATATGCAAGTGCAAATTATTATTATTGTAATACATACACAAGCAAGAAGAAGGTCTAGTAGTATTAAACTGAATTTCACTGACCACTCCAATTGTATGACACAGCCTTTTGTTTAATTTGACTATGTGGCAACTACACCTTCCTCAATAGGTTTTTCTCACTGATGCAGTTTAAAACAGATTAATTTCACTTTTGTTATTTGAAGATAACAGCATTTTCTCCTGAATTCAAGCAACCGGGCTACATGTATTTCAGTGAAACGTTAGGTTTGTTTGATCTTTCACCTGGAGAGAGAGAGCTCTATTGCCCGAAGAGATTCGGAAGGAAACCTCCTCCAGAATGGTTTGATGTTTTGGGCATCTCTTGCAGTTGGTAAGGGGATGTGCAGAAGTTTGAAGCTCCACAATATCCATGGAGTCTTATCTCCTGTGATCAATAGCATCGGAACACTCTTCATCCTACAAAATATAATCTAGAGGGGAAGCATACAGGGATATTCCTAAGAGATTCCAGATCTTTCTCTTGGGAAGGAGAAGAGTGTGGTGATGCTATCATTCTAGATTCCTTACCAAATGACTTAATTACCCACTTAAGAAACTGAAATATGGCTCTAGAGCTTTCCTCTTTAGTGGTGGATTGGACTGGGAGATTTGGGATCACTTTTAGGCTTATCCCTGAAGATCTTTGATCAGTGATGATGATCTGGTTTGCTGACTTCCAAAAGCTAAAGACTCACCCACCCTTGCAGACGTATCTCAAGAAGAGTCTCAGCTGGTGTGTATGGGGAGGCGGGTGATGTGGGGGGAATGTAGAGCCCTCCACAAGCTGTCCGAACTTTGCGCGCCTTCCCCTGGAACAGCAAAAGACTGAACTGGGAGTGATCATGGCAAAGCTCCCTTTCTGTGGTTCCTGTGAGGGTTTCCTCACAGAAAGAGCATCTTTCCCTTTGGCTTGCTTTATTTGACCTGCTCTACTATGACTGGAGAAGGAGGAACAAACAAAGTAGCCTTGTGAATGTTCCAATTCAGGGATCAAAGCACTGAAAATTTTAGCCCCCTAAGGAACAGCAGAGAATGTGAGGGTGGGGGCACAAGAAAGGAATGTTGTTTGCTGCTGCAACAAAATCAATTTTAAAAGTTGGGATTGCAAGGAATAAGGTGGCATTGCTGAACCACCCTTCTGTTTGCACCACAGGAAACAGAGAATCTGGAGGGGGGAAAGGTATACAGACATGCCACAGAACACTGTGGCCAAGTTTGAATTTCCTCTAGTATTTGGTGCAGGAGACAATCAGATAAGAAAATTCACAGGATTGCTCTCAATGTTTATCATTGTTTTAAACTGTATCAGAGACAAAACACTGTCCTCCTTAAAAATGGTTTCTACATAGGGAAGAGCTTGGGACTCCAAATAAATATTGTTCAAGTTATAAAATATACAGTGAATAACCTAAAGTGAACATAATTCTAGCTTGTTCTCCTACTAGCTTTGATACAGACTAAAATAAGAGTCATTAACATTTTCAAATTAAAACTTTTTGAATCACAAGTGTCTGTATATTAAAATAGCTTTATTGAATGAAAAAGTTTGCTCAAGAACCTATTTTTTCAAGCTATGTAAGTACATTTCATACCTGATAGTGATGCAATCGGACACTCTCCCCTTTGGCTCCTGCATGTCCAACAGTGCCCAAGCCAAAGCATCCAGCTAGAAACTGTAGTCTAACAGAAGTAAGCAGTGAGGAAGACTGAAATGCTGGCCCTTGACGGCTTCCCATTAATGGGGCACTACCTTTCTCCTCCATCCCTGACAGCAATACTAGGATCTGATGAAGTGCTTCCAAACGAAGCTTAAAAGAAAAAAAGGAAACAAACTGATTTTCTTCATTTAATAGCTTTTATATAACAAAGACTGTTAATTGAAATATTTAATAATTAAAGTATCTTAAGAACTGATAATGCGATTACCTGTAAATCATAAATAAAATAGCAGGTAGTCAACTGTGAATAACATGGCCATTAAATCATGGAAGAGTTTTGTTTGCATAATATATCATGGGGATAAAACTCTTGTGGTTTTTACATTTAAATTTCCTGAGGTAGGATTTTTTTTGGTTGGTTTTGTAGAAAAATTCTGAGCTGTTGACCCTGATGCCTCCTGATCCCTGGGTCACAGTTAAGATGTTTCTAACCTAAGCTCCAGCAGCCAAACATGAGGCTTAAGAAGCTTTAAACTCCAGTGACAGCTATAGTTTAAAGAAAGTCAAAAATTTTATGTTTTCAGGCTTCCACTGAAAGTTTTAAATATCTTAACTTGTCTACTTTCAACATTATGTATTCCAGAAAGTATGTCTTTCTCTTCTCTCAAACATGTTGAGTGAAAAGAATGCTCTTAAAGTTCAGCCTATTATATATTTAAAAAATATTGAAAAGAGCAGCAGTTTCAGTTAAAATTTGTAACAAAGAAGGGAGAAAATATGAATAAAATATGCTTTGTGGTTCAAATTTTTTTCCAGTAGAAGTTTAAGAGTTAGTCCCATCACATTGATTCATTCTAAAGTTAAGATCCATAACATGGATTTAGTACACAAGGAATATAAAAATAACGTAACTATAACTTACCTCGGCCCTCAGCTGCTGCTGTTCCATTGCAATAACTGAAGCCTGGGGACTAGTGGACATACTTTCCTCTGGTTCCTTAAAACCTGGTGAGTTTCCTACATCTCCACTTACGAAACTGACAACATTTTCAATCAAAGTATGAACTCCAAGGGATTTTGAAAGATCAAAATCAGATTCAACAAATGAGTAAGAGGAGCTGTACAACCAATCTCTGCTGTGTTTTAGTCGAGCCCATGAGTCACTTAGCGGTTCCACTTGACTGTGCATTGCTCCTAAATATAAAATATAAAATTTCATAAATTCCAATTCAATAGAAAATTGCATTTTGATAGTAGGTGAAGACTGAGCTGTTGCTGTTCAAATAAGTGGGAAATGGGCATTTATGTTTAATTATACCATGCATTAAGAAATTAGAGCAAAAACACCTCAGTTAAACGATAGCAATATAATAAACTAAAGGGAAGGCCACGTTTCTATTACTACATATCCTTTAAGCAGTATAGCAACACCCTGCCGCAGGAAAAAAAGAAAAGGCAAAGCCACTCAAACCATTTGGCTTAAAGCTAGAACACTGAATAAAAATGCTATGCAGCTAAATGGCAAACAGTGGTGAAGAAAAGATCTGCAACAAAAGAAACTGTACCCTAAGATATTTCTTATAAGATCTGATTATAAAACAAGACTTTTATTTTACTCACGCTATTATATCTTTTCTATAGGCAAAACTACATAGTGGTTTATAGCTTGTTTTAGATTAAATATTTACCAAATACACGAGTGAAGAAGGGCATATAAACCAACAAAAATACTTCACTCTTATACGGAACATTAACTTTGTAATGATTGTGTGTCAGTGGGTGGTGTATTTTAAATGTAATAAAATAACTACATATATGTTATGTCTCCAAACTATAATTTTAATTTCATGAAATCCACTTTGAAATATTTCTTGATATTTCCTGTTATAACTGTGTGACTACATCTACACTAGGATATTTACCCAATGAAGACAAGTGCCAGCAAAAAGGTGAGTCAGTGTGGAACATGGTTTAATTTCAAACCAAACCATGAACAGCAAAGTGCTGTCTGGTCCTTGTCTACATTTGCAGTTAAACCATGTCTTGCAGAAGTTCCTGGTACTCATCAGCAGTGGGTCATTTTCCATTTGTAAACTTTGTCTACAGATTATGGGTGAAATGCTCCTCTGGCAAAAGTGGGTACAATTCCACTAAGTAAATGAAGTCACAGTTGCTCAGGCGTTTAGCCCTATAACTTTTGCTTTGGTAATCAATTTTTTATTATTATTTTTTTGCTAAGTGTCACTAGTGTGTTTGGTGCAATACAAGACAAACAAAAAACAAAAAACAGCTCCTACTCCAAGGATCTTACAATCTATATAGACAATGAATGGAGACACACACGATACCCAGAAAATGGTACTAACTTAGATTTTATTTGATACACTTATTTTAAAAAGTCTAAAAAGTATAGTTTATACTAAGTAAGCTACCTTGGCATCATTCAGTATTAATGTCTCTTGTGAGCCTAGAACCATAGACATAATTTAAAGAGGCATAACCTTATTGCTAAATTAAGTTAATTATGCATTCACACAACTGTGACAAAACCACACCAGCATTTCTGTTTTAAAACACTCTATTTGCAGGGGATGGGATTTAAAACTCAGTTCTACAAATTCTAAATCAGAAAATTCAATATTTTCAAAACAATCCAATTTTTTTCTTACATAATTGACCACAACTACATCTTAGATTTCAAATATTTCCTTTTCCAAATGTGGTTCATAATATGGTTTAGACACAACTTATTTTGAAAAAATTTGATGGGCCAGTGCATTGAACTGTGAGAATTTATCATACATGTCCCAATTTCCCCTTTGTAAAGAATTTTCATGAGTTTTTGCATGACATGCCTAAACACTTATTTACATAATAACAGACCACAATGGCTTCAAAAAGAACCATTACTATGTCTTGGCCACCCAATATAGTTGGCAATATAAAGTCATAATCAAAAGTTGCTTTAAATTTCAGGAATACTATGGTTGTGAAACACTGAGAAAACCAGCAACATTCAAAGTGAAAAAGATGTCTTTAAATGTTTTAACTTTTGCTGGTTATGTTACAACCTTATTATTTAAATGCAGATGTGGCTTATATGCAATTATTAAAATTGCTGATATTTATTCTGTGATGCCTACTATCAGAAATTTCTAACTCAATTTTTAGTTTTCTTTTTGATACTTGGTGACATGTTGTGTAAACAAGAAAGTAAGGCGAACAAGAGACATCAGGCTGGTGCGTAGACAGATATAATTATTCTTCTTAGATTATCAGAACATCTAAAAGTGACGACTATTAGCATGAGCATTAATCTCAGTTATATGTGGAAACCACAGGTGAGACCCACACTTCTGCTCAAGCCCCTTTACAACAAGCAAAAGTGCCAGAGTGGTGTAAATGGACTCTAAAATCCCTGATCCTGACCAAGGAAGGATGCTGCTGGCACAAGCACTGTTGAAAACAACCGTGAGATTGCCTTTTGAGCCCTCCCTTGCAAACCCAAGAGGCGGCATGCTGGGGGCAAGGCCACAGCACTGTAGAAATTCCGGACAGTGCTATGGCCCACAGGGTAGCCCACTCTAATGTCGAGAGGCCGCCCCTGAGCTGCCTAAGTTACACTAAAGGTCTCTCCAATTTTCTGCAGCAACCCAGGATCAGGAAGGCACAAAGCTGGCTTAACGGCATCTTAGTTCCCCTTCACCCCAAACGGTGAGTTCTGCATTGAACCTTTAAAAGCACAGCACAGACTCTCACCCCATGGCTCCAAACATCAAAGGGTTGGTAGAGAAAAAGCAGTGAAGAAAAACAGTTTATTAAAACCATGTACTGGATGATGCTACCTTGTCATCAAGGTCTGACAAAATATTAAGTGAATTTTAAATTTTGTTAATAGAAAAAGAATTTGAGGGCAACAGTTATTATTACTGAGCCATAACATAAATAAGCTGATATAGATGGAAAAGTTTCAAAACCAATTAAAAAATTTAACTGCCATTATTTTGCCAAAAAAAAAAAAAGGTGTGTAAGAGGATGAGAAAAATCCAGGGCTCTGAGAAGCAATATGAAATTAATGAACACGAAGAAGGATTCCAGCTGAATATAGCCAGATTTTTTTTAATGGATGTAATGTTAAAATAGGATAGGTTTAGTACAAAACCAATTTTTCAAAGTTAGCATATCTAAAACAAGAATGAACAAACAAACAAAAAATCACATGTTCTGAGAAAAATGTTTAAAGTAAAAATTCAAAAATGAAATATTTGGCTCTGCATTAGCTTAGCTGTGAGATAGTGATGACACGCTTAGGACCTACACAGTTTCACTAAGGATTTCTGATAGAGCATTTTGGATCATGTGAATACAGTTACACAATAAAAAAAAAAAAATCCACAGAGCAATACTCTTGAAGCTTGCATGAAAAATGATTGAATGTTTACTTGTCCATATAAGCTAGCTTTTAATAATGGAGTTTTCAAAATGAATGTGGCACAGCTGCAATACATACTTTATAAAACATAAAATATGTAGGGAAGCTATAGAGGGGGAAAAAAATAAACATGCCATCATGTACTTGCTTGAAGCTCTTCTTTTTTCTGGGGCTCAACTGGCCAAAAAGGAGTAAATACACTACCACATAAGAATCAGAAGACAAAAGGAGACATTTGATACAAAAGACAACACTTAAAAAAAACCTCTCTTTATATTACACTGGCTCAAATTTAATTGATCTGCATTTCATTCATGCATGAAAAACATCAACAAGCAAACTCTGAAGAAAGCATTTTCTTGGTAACAATATTCATTAGTTGGTATCATCTAGGCAGCACAAACCTTGTAAGTTCTCTGCATCATAATTTTTGATTTTGTGTTTCCTCTTCTGTTGCATTTATATCTATGTGATTATATATATTTATATTCCATACTTAAGAATCAAAATCATTTAATTCAAAAATTCAGAACTACACTGACTACTACAGCTACAAAAAATATTTCTATTACTGCAACAGTAGATATTTTAGATTTAAGGTATCTGCACTATTGTATCCTGTTGGTTATCATTTAAGTTACTAGAAATTTAAGAAACTGTACTAAAGAACATCTGAGCAATATAACATTTCATCACAGACATTTGTGCAACATTCCAACTTATAACAGATTGAGACAGAAACACTCTTGGTTTTGTTTGCCCACAAAACTGTATGTATGATTGCATGTCTAAATGTGAGTGTATTTACCACAAATGTATATGCAGAATCTGGTGGTTTTTTGCACAAACCACCATTTAGATGCATTAACACTCACTCTTTCCTGCTGTAAAGGAACTGGGAAAAAGATCCGAGGGATATGAACAAAGAATGCAGACAGGATGCTGCCTACTGAGCTACATCAGTGCTGGGGGCTCTCTCTGGTCTGGCAAGACTGAAGATGATGAATCAATAACAGACAGAAGAGAGGAGAGGAGAGGAGAGGAGAGGAGAAGGCAGAGGGAGGCCCAGGAAAGATGCTAATCTCTCCTCTCCATCTCCAATGGCCAAAAGCATTTCACAGAAGGTTTTTGGAGGGATTTCTACCTTGCTGGGGTGGAAGCTGATGGTGGCTTTCTAGAATCTGATTGAGTAATGGGTGGGTCTAAGAGCTCCAAAGGATCCAAGGGCAGAAGAAGGGGCCTTACTGTCATGCTACTGCTCAGGTGGAGCATCTGAAGAAACAGGGAGTGGAGAATTAGCCATTCAGTCCCTGTTTGCATTTTTGGATCTAATAAGAACTTGAGGTTCATGTAGGTGAAAAAGCAAAGCTTTCCTTCCACACTTGCCTGCAGAATGACCAAGCCGGGCAAATTCCTTTTTAGCAACTCTTGCACTGCCCACTAACTATATTGCTGGTGGTGCTCATACACTAAGTCTGACCATGTCAAGTAGTGAGTGTTAAGCTCAGGGGAAAGAGGAATTGGGCAGGGAAAAAGTTCAGTTCAGTAACACACAATTTAACAAAATTATTTGAAATATACTATTTCTAAAGAGATATAACCCTCTCAAGAGCTTGCTGCTCTGTTGGCATGAAAGCATAACTTTGGGGACAAACTGCACATGAAGAAGGTGTTACAGATGGCTTGGCACAATCTTTGCCACCTCTGCATTACCTTCATCTCTGCGTGTAGGAAGCAGCAATCCATATGGAGAGGACTGCTG